TAAAAGTACGCTCCAATATTCTTAGAACGGTCATTTTTATGGTTTTTATTGAGTACAGTTCCGTTGATTGATCTCGTTATTTTGTGGCAGCATTTATATTTATTGCATTTTAGGAGTATCCCCATTCTAAATGGTCGCGTTTAGATTAAATATAAAAAATTGCTATATAGATCATTTAACATACATATTATATTCTTAATGTCGTTAAACATATTACAATAGGTAAATGAAATGTATTCAGTCAACTTCAATACATATCTTATTGTAACTTAAACTTAACGCTGTGGAAAGAAAATACGTGGTACGATTTATAATTTCCTTTGCTCTGGGCCAATAAAAAAGACGTTTTATTTCCTCTTTTATGCCACCGGCACCATTCTGTCAAAGACCGTTGTCTTGTACTTCAGAATTACATCCATTATCCTACGATAATGCAGTAAACAAATGCATTTCCATCTGTCGACGGATTCAAAATACCATCGTCATCATAGTAAATAATAAGCTACGTAAATCGGAATAACTAGAATTATATAAGGTCCAATTAAGTTCTACAGAGTATTATTCGTCACTTATTTATTTACATTTGCATTCTAGCCATAAGTTTTTGAAAATATATCCTCATGTTTTTTATACATGAATAATGTTTTTATTAAACTTTACCATATACTTATTATTATATGTCACCTATTCAATTTGGAGCATTATATTTAAGTATTTTTAAATAAATCTTAGAGCGTCACACATAAAATTCTTGGAATATCAGCAACGTTTAACCTACATAGTCCTTTTATCATGAGCGGACAAAGGATTAATAAGTTAAGGCCGACGCCGTTTGACCTTAATACTTAAATACAAAGAATCGGCTTTTCTCCGAATTCGCATAAGAAAATCGCACGTGGGCTCCAAATTCTACTTTCCTTATAATAATAAAAAAATTGCAGCGTAAGAATTTTAATAATGCGTTTACTTATTATCCATCCTGGCGTAGCCCTTTTTTTAATCTTTAATTTTAAATAATCATGAACAGATAAGATAACTTTAATGGTAAATTGATTTTTAAATTCAGTTACTTTTTTTGAGATCATTACAAAATAAATCTTTATAATGTTAAAGATTTATTTATAAGATTTCAGTTATATTACATTAATATTTTGTATTAAATTATAGCTATTACAAATATACATACGCTGCAACTTTGTTAGCTATTCTTGTAGCAACGTGGATATTTATCATTTAATATGCATCGGCGTTATAATAAGCAGCGCTGTAGTTATATTACAGCAAAATGCTAAGCGTAAACCTAGTTTTAACTTTACTGGGGTGCACCCATGCATGAAAACGTAATACATGTTATTTTATTATTGTCTTGTATGTTATTATGTACTTTGCCATTGTGACTGTATAATCAATAAATAAAATAATAAAAACAATATTTTATATATTGATTATAATATTATATTCTATCAAATTATACTAATTAATAGATATTAGTACTTTAAGACTCACTTGTTTCGCTTTAAAATAACTATATTAAAATATATATGTTACTAAATATATTTGTTTTACGGGACATACTTATAATGCCAATGTTTTTCAATAAATATATATATATATATATAGAATTAAACTTCTATTTAAATATATTGTATAACATTCGCATGATCAAAATGTGTAATATTTTTAAATATTCCTTAGTATTTTCCACCTGAAAGCCTTCGAATCCGTGTAACTAAATAGATCTATGACCGTAAGGATGCCCTTAGCGCGTGACGAGGTCTCTAACACTTTTATAGTCGGTGTGCCCTTTACACGCATTTTATTACTATTATTATTAACTGTGACATCTCTGGGTAATTTTCCTTATTTTTATACTTTGTTTCTATGATAAAATGTCATTTTCTCTACTAAATCTCTAAAACCTTTCAGGCATGATTATTCTAGATATGTTCACATTTTTTCCCTGGTGTACCAACATATATGATAAATGAACTTTGTGTGCAACCAGTTATTACTGAAGAGTCAATATTCCCTACACAAAAGGGAGATACCTACTGCTGTTTTATTCATGTTTCACTTGTTTTAATCACATTACTGATTTGTAGTGTTACTATAAAGAAAATAATTGCATAAATATAACACCAAAAATAATTTTCTGTCGTTAGATTTCTGATTTATATTACATATATTAAGACGTCATATTGCTTGCCTCTATTAATTGTTTATTAATAATACCTACATACAGATACATCAAATTGGTAAATGGAATTAATAATAATTAATTCACATTTTGTAATATAACGGCACTCTATTACATTGATTATTATTTTTATTAGAATAAATGATATTCTCGAATTCATGGTCGCTAAATATTTTTTGTATACATAAAATTTTATTTATTAAATAACACTCAAGCGGATTGTATTTTCATAAAATGTCACAAATAATGGGAAAACCCCAACTTGCGAGCAAGTTTGACTGGGTGACATCCTCAGTAGATAATAGATACGTATGTATAATAAATTATATTGTATAATTTAAAATATTTCATTTTCTTCATGTTAAAAAAATCGTATTATTATTTTTAAAATTTTATTGACGTATTTAAATAATAACATATTTAAATACTTCGTCTCCACAATATGCATATTTCTTATGAAATATCTGTGAAGTCTTAAGTAGCTAACTAGGTTGTAATCACTTTGTGGTTTTCAATGAGGAATATTTAATTGTTTCTTCGTATACTAATCACGTCATTATTTTTCGATGTAATTATATTTCTGATAAATTATATCTACATGTATAAGATTTTTGTTAAGGTGTAGTTGAGGTATTTTGGTAAGAATGGCGTCGTATTCTAAAATATTTTACATCTTGTAAATATGCATTATACTAAACCATTTAGAGAAAGTAGTACAGTACAGTAGTAGTAGAAAAATGAACTATATTTTTGTCAGGGCGACCTTGCCCGCGCCCGGCACGGGCTTTGATGCAACACGATCGCTATTGTTCAAATCCTGACATTTTGCAACAACTTGAATGAACCTGAACTGTCACCAATTCATACAAGCTGTACCAGTTGGAATGTTTGTACTTATGCAAGTCTTCAAGATTTACAATCTATTTTTCAACCACATTTGCTGTACGATTGAGGTTAAATATTTCACTCAGTTTTCATTTTAGGGAAGTTTATGGTGCAATGTTATGCATTGAGATGAGATAAGAAGACGGAAAGTTAAAGAACTTCGATATAGCCATCGAGTTTAAGCTTATTTGCGTTGTCTTGATGAATACTTAGCTAACAAATATTAATTAGGGTCTAATCATTAAGTCAGAAACGCCACCGAGACATACTCAAATAAATGAATAACCAATTAAATTATATTCTATAAATTCAGTGCCATAGAGACTACTGAATACTAAGAAAAGTTTTTAAAAATGTTTCTAAATTTATCACAAATAAAACTAACGCATCATTCCCTGTTACCTCGATCAATTCGACCGTAAACCCAATTAGTCGCCTTCGAAACCGTTTTATAACGTTACCGAACAAATTGATTGTAATAGAATAACTGCTTCCATCCACGGACTGTTCAAAACCCCATTTAGCGATTACCAAAACTGTATTTGAAAGTAAAGTGTGGAATAGTAAATACGTGTTGTTCTAGTGGATGACAAATTATGATTCATTGTTCGTGTCGCCTCTCATGTATACTCGGTGGTAGTGCAATGTTGGTCTCCTGTCTCGAGCACAGTGGCGTAGCGCAACGGGCGCACGTCGATTGAATGCTGAATGCTATTCATTCGTGGCCGTTGAGTCATCAACAACCCGCTTTCTGCCTCTCAATGAGAGTTATCGACCCTTCATGCAGTTGGCTCTACAGTAGTCACATACAATAAAAATATACAATTATTATTGCTACAAGTACACATGTGTAAACGTTTTTATATAATGTACAACGGAAACACAATTTTATAATTACAAATCTCTTTTGTATTTCCTTTTGTGTACAGTTTTCGTCAAAAACCGATAAGGAACTTTTTTGCGTAGTTTTCACGTATTGTTTATAAACTTCTTTAAACGTAACATAAGTAGTTCTAAATGTATAGTCAGATTATTATCAACAGTTATTTAATAAATTAATAGCTTTGTTGATCAATACAATTATTTTATATTATTAATAGAATCAATCTGATAATCAGTACTGATTATTGATTGATAACAAATCACTGATTTTAAGTAATTACTAAACAAGGACGTAGTTTCGGTATCGGTCATAGTTCCGGCCTATTTACTGTTGAAATCGAAACCGATGGATAGTGATAACCGTTGTTAATAGACAAGAATAGAATTTTACTCAATATACCTGCTTACATAGGTCACATTATTGCCACTCTCAAAGTCTGCTACGAATTATGATCCATGTGTTGATATTTCATTAGCTTCTCTTGAGGGAAAACAAGAAGATATTTTTATTTGTTCATTTATTTATTCTGTTACTGGTAATGGAACAATTAATTTTAGGGTACAATGGGACTGGCATGTACTTTTATATTGTACAAAAGTCCCTAAATTTTACCAAACATAAAAAAATTACCACTTATGTATTTTCTTCTACAAACTACGGATACAGTGTGGAAGTAGGTTTATTTCAGCATCTTAGTTTGCTGGATAATAAATGCTAATTATTATTACAGCGTTATTTCATGTAAATTAAATCATGATTGATTTGCCTCCGATGTCATAGTATAGGACTTGTAATTACATTACGTTCACAAGAAGTCATTATTTAATACCTCTTAGCTTCAAAGTATCAAATATGAGATAAACTAAATAAATTGTCCATTATTTAAAAATCGCCTTTGCAAACTATTTTATTCAAATCTTCTTTTGTTATTTTTAAGCTGTGAGTTATAAGTAAAGTTAGTAAGTCAGAACAGAGATATTGATATGTGGCATTATTGACTACATTGATTTAATTGTTCAATTTGGTTTGTTTCAGATGGTACTTCCGCAAAATAAAACGAATTGAGGCGGAGAAAAAGTTGCTCCTACCGGAGAACGAGCACGGCGCTTTCCTTATCCGCGACTCGGAGAGCCGCCACAACGACTTCTCACTATCAGGTTTGCTTTGTTTAATGAAGTATTTATTTAGAATAATATTAACGCCTTAAAGTCGGGATAGTATAATAATTAAGCGACCCAGGTACTCCAAACACGTGAATTCTAATCTCGCTGACACAAATAACTTTGTGTTAATTAGTTGGGACTAACTCTCCGGTGACGGTAACACCGGACAAAAACCAAATTAATTAGAGATTCTATTCAAATATACCGTGCGAGACGTGAGCATATTAAATGACGAGTTCATCACAACGTCGACAGCTGACGAAGCCTATAATAACAGTTGTTAAAATATATATTTAAAAAAAAATAGTGTAACGAACAATTTTTTTAGGTAGATATTAAAGAAAGTAGGAAAAGTATAAAATGGAAAATAGAGGTAAATATGTAATATCCGTATACTGATAAAGTTATATTGAAAACGTATGTATCATATCATATATACGTCTAGAATAGAGAACGGCATTTGTTATTTGTATTACGATGGATATGAATAATGCGTAACGCGTGTTGTACCCATCTTAACCCTTTTTCCAGTATTTTGGGTGAGTGTTATTACATTTCTGCTGGTTATACTCATACTCAATACATTTAATTTTCCGAATAGATAAGTTAATTAAAAATTACTTATTCCTAATAAATGGTACAGCGTAAATTGATAATTTTATGAGTCTGAAAATTATAATCGAAATGAACATAATACTTATATAATGAAATAATTATTCGTGCCCAATGTTGAATAAGTACAATTAATTTATCATTTATATGTACTCGAAACTCGTACCATTTATCATAATACTGTTAAGAGTGTTATTAGAAACAACAGTCTAGAATATTCGATCGAGATGATAAACCGGTTGTAGTTTTTCTAAGGACCTAGAATAGGCGCCGTGGGAACAAAGCCTTGCCCACAGAAGGCTAGTTCTATTTCTCATACTAATTACTATTCTTCATTCACCTGTGAGCCGTTCGATGGTATCGCTTTAAATACAAATTGGACAGGTTACTGCTAATTTAATAAATATGTACGCAGTTCATTGTCGTGCTCGCATTATAGTTGCAACTAGTGGTTTCGCCCGGATGACATTTTTGTATATTTTTTAATATTATGCAACAAATAGCAAGTGGCAACCGTCGCATATACATATGAGGAGCGCCATACTTATCAGGTGATAATCTGTAGACGACAGTATGGAGGACTAAGATATTATGCCTTCGTACCCTGTAATTTCACTGTCACCCTCCAACCGAAATACAGTTTACAAAGAACCAACTCTAATTGTGAGTTTTTGAAATTTTGACATCATATATGTATGATATATTAATTGGAATAATATATCTTACAAGTAGTGAAACATTTCGATTTAATCGGTCAAGTAGATTAAAGTTTGCAACAATCAAATATTTTCTAATATTGGTATAGAGGAATAATAAATGTTTTATATTTTTGTCTATACTTTCACCAATGTTACGTTTGATTACAATAGTATGGATCACCTTAAAATAACACAGCATTCAGCAGCAGCAGCAGAAAATGGAATATGACTTAACAATTCATGTTTTCCTCATTTGTCGTCATTTTCCACCAAAATTATACTATAGTAAATCTTAATTATTATTATAGTTATTTATATTTATCGCTAATACGCCAATCTATGATATTAAATTATCTATGATGACTATATTGTTTATAATCCACGTACTTAATCTTGCACGTTTTTGTCGTGCTGTGTGATTTCTTCCAATCCATTCTTCATGTATGTCCCAACTCCATATTTCAGTTATTTATATTTTTGGCCTAAACGTTTGCCGTCTTGTATATTTTTATTATACCACACTGGTAGCAAATAAGCGCATAGCACATCTGATGGTAAACGGTTACCCTAGCCCAATAGTGCCCGAAGTGTTCTTTTTGTACTGTAGTGTCTGTAGTGTTTTTGAAACTCATACTGTAGTCTTTAGAGAAAACCTAAGCAGACATTTCATTCCACAATCTAAGTATGTGAGAGAAAACGCACTGTCCCAGATTACTTGGGTTCCAGGCTGTTTGGCTAAATTCCTTGACACTGGGCGAGTGGTTCGTTTTAATCTGAAATGTAAACTCAAATATAAAATAACCTGTTTTATTAACTAATTGAACTAGAACACATTTTGTTTAAAAAAATATATATGGTATGAGCAAACGTCTAATGATAAGAATTTCTAACATTTATTTCTTATAGGTATAACACATTTTTATATCTAAATATACCTACTTCCTCATACGTACTATAATGAATTATCATACGAGGAAAGTAAAAACCTGTTTACAATGTTTGTTCGGAACTCTCGGTGTGCAAGCCCGACTCGTACTTTACCAGTTTCTTCTAATTTATTTTTAACTTGGTTCAACATGGATGACTCTTAACTATGTCACAGATTACATGATACGCCAAATACAAAATCTTGTTAACGAAGTTATGAAAATCTGTTCCTTATATCGGTTTTATTATTAATTAATAAGTACCAATGGAATACAACTATGAAATTTTTATTAATTTATATTCGTTTTAGTAAAATTACTAACTTCTAATAATTTCCTCTCACCCTAACGTTCACAATGGCATCCATTAATGAAAATATATTTTGTCACGCCCATCGTAATTTTTATTATTATATTTTTTTTATGTCGACGTTTATAAATTTGAATTTACTTTCTTGCCATTTCAATGGTAACATAATTGTCTAATAATGTGTTACTATTTCGGCAAAACCTCGAATTTAAGTATTACATAAATTACGCAAGGTCGCGCATAGCATTACGTCCACTTGTTGAATAAATACCACACAATACACATAATGCACAAATTTAAAGTTTCAGTTCACTTCTGGGTACAGACTCACGAGTGCGTAATAAGTCTTAGAAGACGCGGAATTCCTACAACGTAGCCAGTATTGCACACATTCAAGATTGCACTTGAATTGCATACCGGTGTTCTATTACATCATATCACACATATTGACATAACTGGGGTAATCCATTCATACTTTAAATGCTACCATATTTATCCTGCATATATCTTTGAAGGTTCTTTGCTATACATTCTAGACTAGAATGCAAATCACGTAACTATGCAGATTTAAAATTATTATTTGACTAAACATAAAAGCAACGAGGAAGTCTACTTGAAGTTGTTCTACCTATATTTAGATACATAACGCATTTCTGCGGAAAATCCTCTGAATGTTTTAACGATGTTTTTTTATCCGAACGTTACGTTAATGATAATATTATTCAGAAACAAGCAATACTATTTACATTTATTGTAGAAAATTAGAGTATTGTATGTGATCAAGTATAAAATTAGAAAATATTGAGACCTTCCAAAACTATGTACCTGTAATTAATAAGAAAACAGGCGACGCTGTTTTCTTATTAATTAGGTAAAATTTAATTTATTATTCAATCCAATAATTTGTAACTTTTATATTTTAATAAATAAATAACCCTGACCAATTAATACAGCTTCATCAAGCCCCACGGTAGCAGAAGTTGTGTACGAGACTACTGATATAAATGTACTTAGATATATTTTTTTATAAATATACAAAGAACACACACAGACCGATCTTTCAACCATACGAATACAAATGTTTGCTCCGTGCGAGGAATCGAACCCGCGACTATCGGAAATAAAGCGGTGTGCTAAAATAATAGAAGACTAAGTGATGAGACCAACATGTGAAGGCGGGCAAAAAGTAAACGAAAGTCAGGAAAAATACCCTAAATTGGAGGCAATAATAGATGGAGTCATATAGATGCATTATTCATTGTTGTCGTTTGATTACCAAGTTCTTAATCTCGCACTTTTTTGCCGTGCTATATGATTTCCACAACCTTAAAACAATTCTTGTGTATGTCTAATGTACATGCATAGGATGCTACGGACACTACTAGTTTATCATATACCTAAGCAATACAGCCTATGAAAATAGTCTTATACTACATAAAAATACTTATTTTAATAGATCATTAACCGTTTATAGGTAATTATAATTTATTTTCCAGAATACAGGAAACGTATATGAATATTATTGCACGTATAATCTTGTAATTGAATATTTTATGTGCATTTTACGCATTTCGTTATATGATAGGTTATGATATTATCATACCATACATTCCCTTGAAGCACGCGATTAAGGAAAATATAAGTTTGCCATTAAGAGATCAGTTGATCACAATTTCCTTTTGAAAGTGTTTGTAATTTGCTTCGTATTTCATATTTGACAGCCTCGGTAGTCTAGCGGTTTAGCACACTCCTTTCTTCCGATGGTCGCGGGTTCAATTCCTCGCACGATAGAACATTTATATTCATGAGTACGATTGTTTTGGTCTGGATGTTTTCTATACAAATTATGTATATATATATATATATATATATATACATACAATTACTAATGCGTAAGGTTTTAATTCTATGAATCGTATAATAATTTATCAAGTCAAATCAAATAAAAAACGATTATAACAATATATCCTAACATGTAGTTTGGACATCAATATAGGTTTCCTTTTCCTTATTAACTTGAGTCATCATCATTAAACACTTTCCTTTGTTGATATTTGTATATCTATATATAAATCTAAAACAAGATATAGATATTTTTTATATACTCTGAAATAAGTTTGAGTTATTGAATCTCAGAGTCTTTATATATATATATATATATTTATATAAGAATATTTTAAATAAAACTTAACTAAACAAGTTGTTACAATTGCATGATGGTTAATCATGTAATTGTAACTACTTGTTACACATAGTTACTTAGTATGTATTTTATTTCTACATTATACAAGGTTCATATTATTCGGTCTGTATCATACGCAAGGATAGTTATATAACTGTATGTATGTATTATTGAGTATCATCACACGAATCTTAAAGGTCATTCTCCTATGAAATATTAATATGTAAAGATATCGCGCATCGTCAAAATAAATTTCAATGTCGCTAAAATATTAAATTTTGTAATGTACCTCGTATTGCACCGGCTACTTGATTATGTAATTAGTACACATTTATTTATTCTACATAAATAACTGATAAAATGTACGGCAAGTTAGCCTTTAAAAATAGAGGTTGACTTAGGTTATATTCTATTTTTTTATTAAAATATTAATTGATAAAAGTAAGTATGTTATAATTGGTACAATTGATATGTTATAATATTTCAATAATGTAATGCTGAATACAACGATTATAAATTTATTTCCAAATAAAACTTACTTTAATTAATCTTATTATACTATATATAGTAAATGTATGTATACCTACTGTCTGTTACTTTTTCACTACTGAATCTTAATAATATTTAACGTGAAGATAGGTTGTATGAAGCGGACCGTTACATTATTTTTTTTTAAAAAAGCATATATAGTCGCTATTAAATATAGTATATAGAAAGATATAATTACTATCTATCACCAAGGACACAATTCCAAGTTTTAATTAATTGTATTATTTTTATAGTGCGAGATGGTGACACCGTAAAACACTACCGAATAAGGCAACTGGATGAGGGTGGGTTCTTCATCGCCAGACGCACTACCTTCCGTACACTCCAAGAGCTCGTAGAACACTACAGCAAGGATGCTGATGGATTATGCGTTTCACTCAGCAAACCTTGTGTACAGGTTAGTTATATTTTCTATTCTTTAGTAGTAAACTTTAGCAAATCTATAATGTTACTAGTAACCCCGGTTTCGTCTGGGTGCAGATGACTGCTAGTTTTATTCGTACATGTCTCCTATGTCACTCAGAAATAATGTAAAACATTGAAAGAATTTTTAAAATCGTTATAAATAATCACAGTCAGATATTTACTATTCATGATATTAGTACAGACTAGCGACTCGTCCCTCTTTGACTTCACAAATGTGAAATTATTCTAGGTGTTTTTTTTTAAAGAATTTACTAGCCTCGGTATTCGTTTATAAAGTTTGTTCTGAATACATGAAACATAGGTATATGTACGTTGATTTGTTTACGATACTCAATTTGGCAACAATATATGGATTTAGACACACGTAAATGACACCCTTGACCGATTTCTTACAAATCCTATACATATTTTTACTCAATCGAATCTTATTATTCATCCTCTTGACTCACAAACATTAATTAGGTTTTCCATGGTCGCATTGTGATAGATATTAGATTTAATATCCGAGTATTTGGACAGCTGTTTGAGTGAGTGAGCGGGAGATTGAAAGGCCACCATCTCCCGTCACTTCTGGTCTCTTCCGTTAATTAAAAAAATTGAGACAAACTTGAGAATTTCGTTTATTAAATTTAAAGGTTAATCCGAAATATTTAGACAGTGTCATAGGCTATTGCTGATAATAAATAGTTTCCGGATATTCAGACTATTGGTGTTAGATTTGGGTACCAGGTGTTTTATTTTACAATTCTTTTGTTTTAAAATATAAAGGTTTTTATAAGTCCTTTGTAAGGAAAGTGTTTTATAAGTCCTTTCTCATCTAATTAATACTAAAGAAAAAAAGTATATGTAGAAATGAATGATTGTTATTGGTCTCAAATTGATGATATTTGACTAGCGTTTATTCTAAAGCAGAAAATACGTAGAAGGAAATTGTGATTTGCCAATCTTCTGAAGTCACATATTTACGTGAATTCCGATAATATATTGTTTTGATGAGTTATACTGATAATTTTCATACAACTCAGAATTGTATTATTCAGTATGATAAAAGTTAAACAAAAATTAATTTTTCATAAATATAAGTTGGTATATACTATATATTCGTTTTAACAGGCTAAGACTTTGCAACAACTTTTCGCTGAAAGATCCATATAAGCCATATAAGCAATATTCCATATAAATAATATTCCTTTGTTTCCGGAGTTAAATCTATCTTTAAAAATGTAGTTTAGGCATGGGTTGTATTTCGAAATATACATACATTCCGTTTACACTCGGAGGATTAATCCTGTATAAATGAAACTGTGGGTAAAGACTAGTTACTTAATAAAGTTTTTCCATAAACCATTGATGATTACAAGTGCTTGCTTAAAAATAGATCGCTACTCCTTGTTTAAACGGCGTTAAGTATTAATATCCTGGTCAGACAAGTTACGGCTACCACGGCTGACTTCGTAACGAATTATAAGTTAATACGAGGCGTCCACCATACGAATATCTGTCGTTGAGTAATGCCTAAATATATTACCGACTGGAGAAAATACATGTTACGAAATGAAATGCTAATAAAGCAATTCAATATTTATTTATCCGAAAATAAGTAGCCTGGTGAGCTAGTGACCAATTTTATGGTATACTGTAGTCTGTTCTTAAATTAGACTTGTGCATGATGCTGCTTTCATACCTGAAATTTATTTTAAAAAAACAGCTTTGTGTTCAAAATAATAAATCAATAGTCAATGGAGTGAAACTACGACCTTTATCAATTGTATTAATTTTTAATAATCGTAAGTTGTTTATTTTTTAATAATACTTTTAAGAGACCTATTATAAAGACAAAACGGTCGGCTCGTTATAAAGAAAGCTATAATATCATTTGTTTCTAATGTCTGTTCAAAACAAATAATTAAGTTATACTTCAATTAGTAGCTTCTGTTGTTAACAAATCATATCCACCATCACGACTATCACGATCTCCTGTCAGCTGTCAATCAGAATATCTATACAATGACATTGCTTGAAAAACACAATTAGCGACATCATAACAACATTATAATTAGCATTCTATTGTAATAATTTAAACAGTGTCAGTGTTTCATAAATTATGGTCTGAACATTCAAATTGGTTTAAAACTCCTGAAACAGACAATTTGCTGCAAGTAAATTTGTAGACCTGTTGCAAATTGTTCAGACAACCGTTACTAATGTTTATAACAACGTATTTGTTATAAGGCAATGGTAGGCGACGCTCGGTGAAGACAAACGTTTATTTATCTGACATTTCTATATACGTTCAAACTATGTAAGAAATATTTTTATGTAACTTTAATGCCAAAAGAACTGATCGTCTACGTATCCTATGTCTGTAGACATTATCACGGTCGTCACGAAATACATTGTGAACACTTTATGCTGTGCCATTCTTGAGAGCTAAGATGTCCTAATATGACCTCTAATACGGTTACAGGGTACAGCCCTGTAATCGCATTAGGGAAGCCATATATTACAGATGTATTTACACAAATTTAAAATATTTTTTTTATACATAAGGTCAATAAATATTTTAAGGAAAAAAATATGTATTCTACATGTCGCGTATATATACGCAATAAATATCATTGAACATAAAAATAAATATCAAATTTCGTAATCATAATTCATCGGAACTAGACTACATATAATGCTATAACCACGTCATTATTGTAACCACACATTAGAGTTACGAAATCGATAAATACCTTTAGAAGATGATAGGATCAAATAAAAACCCATTTTTTCCACTGAATTTGAACATCGTAAATAGTGACAAATTATAATAGCATCAACATGTTAACAGTAAGATGGTTATTATATAGATTTAAATATTCAATAAGACAAATACACGTAATATTTTTTTTAGATCTATATCATAACTGATTATGAATTAGCGGCAAACCAAATTACAGTTTTTGGTAACGTCACTCAAATTTATGCTATGTAATTAATAATAATTATAGGTAATTTAAATAATTAACTAATAACAAAAATAATACTAACGAACAATGCAAATTACGATTGAAGAAATACACGTATAAGGGTCAGTCGTAATCGTTAAAGGTTATGTCATATATTAAGACAACAAATTTACATGTAACAGCACAAAATACCTAACCAATATATTTTAAGATTGATCACATTCCCACGTAAAATTCGACATAAACGAACAATAAATAGGTGTATAAATATTTAAAGAATACGATTGTGATTATTAATGACATATAGAAAAGTTAACGGCAGATTATGATCGTGGCAGACGTATTATACAATATGTATATAAATGTCGTGGGTCGTCAACACGACGCACCATCATGATCTTGACCCTATCCGCTGGTGAATTAACGTTAATTTAAAAATTTACTTACTTAACGTTTCAAGTTCGTCAATCCGTGGAATTTACGTGTGTGTTGTCTTATCAAGGTCACGTGATCAAAATAAACAATTCTCTGTATAATCTTATACGTACGCATAAATTGCAAAACTCAATATCAGGACGACTATAAAATTTATGATTTTAGACGGAGAAAACCTTTCTGCGCCGTGTGATAAATATTATAAGGCATTGAACATGCCCGAAGGATACTTTAAATTTACTGAAGCATTCTACATTTCTTGGTACACAGTTCTTCTGTTATTTGTATTTGAATAATTAAAGTCCGTACCAGACATAACTTTATATAGTTACGCTAATATCTACAAAATCACGACTTCTGACTGGTGTGTTTGAACTTTAAGCGTACTTTGATCAAACATTTGCACTTTTCCGTCCCGTTTGAAGGATTTTAGAACGTGTGTAGTGTGATCCAAATATACTGTATTAAGATATTATTATACATTCATCACACATGTTTCGTTCAAAGCAAGTCTAGTAGATACGTTTGCGCCAACTGCTCAAATGTCTACCTTTAAGTCTATGTTTGCCATGGTTTATTCCAAATATTTTCATAATTGGTATAAATTTCTAGTTCGATACAATAGATTAGATTATGTAGCTATACATATTTTATGACATTTCTTTGTTGATTATTTTATGTAAAATACTCTTTTACTTTATTATCAAGCTATCTCTATATCTTCATGTCAGATCCTTTCGATATATGTATGAGTGCCAACGACCTCTATCGAAATATTTCTTGTTTCGTCTACTTTATTGTTACGTCTAATGCCTTTACATGAAAGCATACAGATACAAGACACAATACATACAGTATACTCATAGTTTCATTAGCTATCCAAAATAAAGAACCGTATAAAAATGAAATATAATTACTTTAATATCAGTGTTCTCTTTTTTGCAAATGTACATTTTGGAACATCTCATTATGTGATTAAATATAAACATCGTGCAAAATTAAAATAAATTATCATTTTTATGACAATGACAATATTGCCATATGACTATAACACACCTGTACGAAGATTAATTTGTTTTGCGTCACTTGCATACTTTTTAATGATTTATACAATATATAACACGTGGAAATACCACATAAATGCATAAGTATTATCACTTCGACACGTAGCAATTATTTGAAATTAATCTTTATGAATTCTTATTGAATGATTTGTTCTATAAGTTATACATTTTTGCATTTTCTGTTATTTTAAAATAGTTTTCCTCACCAATGTAGCATAATGTGCAATGTATTATGTAATTAAAAAGGCGCCAAGTAAAAAAGGCCGTTCCAGTTTTAGTCGAGCCAAGGCCGAGAAGGCCCCCCTTTCGTTACGGATTTTGCGCACAAAACGCAACATTCATTCGATGCCAAAGTCGCCGGTAGCTACGCTTTTGTTTTATTCAGATTTTAAACACACTGTGCGTCAATCACGAATATTCGACAACACCTGAGATAAAACTTTGTCAAGATAGCACAATACTTTGTTTACTTAACTAAAAATCTGCGTTAAGAAACCTGTGAAATGATATACAATTGA